CCCCCGTGCTCCGCCAGCCATGTGTGACACCAACCCCATCCTCCAGCCAAATCCTCTGGGCTGGCTTGGCTGGAGGCCTCACTGGAAAATACAGCTTGTTCCTGGGCAGGTGGCTGGGTACAGGCCCTGGCTGGCACAACTTATATGCCTGTGCTGGGCCGCTTCATCTGCTTCTACCTGTGTCTCATTGGCCAGTGCCAGCTGCCCTGCTGAGAGGACTGGAGCACCCCAGCCGAAAGTCCCTCCCTGCTGTCTCAGGTCCAGCCTGCAGCCTTTGCTTCACCAACATGCACACAGCCCTGCTCTTGCCCCGCAGTCCCAGCTCTCAAGTCCCAACCTGCCAGCCTCCTGTAAGAGTCACTGCATTTCTGACACAGTCCAGCTGTGATGCTAGGATCCCCTACTCCTGTCAGTTCCTGAGCCCCATTATAAACCCCAGCTGGGGCTGCCTTCACCCTTCCTGGCCCAAATGTTCTAACCTGTCTGGTTGCTGCTGGCCCCAGGCTCTGCACCACCCATAAATCACAGGAAATGGACAAGGTCCTACAATCAGTTAATTCATTTAGCTAATCTTGATGAAACGTCTCATCGACCCAGGCTGGGTCAGGGACAGAGCACCGGTGCCAGGAGACTGCGGGCTGGCACTGCCCCACCTGGCGGCATCCCAGCCCTTCCATTACACACCTCGGGGCCAGCCACCAACCAGAAAACGCTGCGGAATTGGGGAGGGCCCTGCCCAGCCCTGCCCTGCCCTGCCCTGCCCATGTGTGCAGGAGGTATACTCCAAATAAAGGAAAGAGGGGATGCGCCTCTCTGTAGCAGCATGTGCAGAGGGGGGCTCCTGATACCAAGGCAAGGGAGATGCAGAGCACCCCCTAGAGCTTCTTCCAAGAGGCACTGGACCCTGGGCGTGGACCCCTGTCCCATAAAATGTTTTTGCCTCCTGTGGCAGGGAGATGGGATGCATTGGCTAGAATCACTGTCTCCATTCTTAGATGTACCCCCGCCCAACCAAGTCCCTGTCATCTCTTCCTGAGGCCCAGGCACTGTTGGGTGCAATGTGAGGATATGAAAGCTACCCCTATGGGAGCGGTGTGGGGTCTAGCAGTTAGAGCAGGAAGGGGCTGGGTGCCAGGACTCCTGGGTTCTGTTCCCAGCTCTGTGTGGCCCGGGACATACCACCTGTTCCTTTGTGCCCCCCTGGATCCTAAGCTGAGCTTGAAGGTGCAGCCAAGTAGAGCAGCCCTTGATGCCCCAACTCTGCCCCCACAACTCAGTCCACTAGCTGAGTTCCCCCCTGCCATAATGCCCTCTGCTCCACATGGCCTGCCAAGCCAGAGCAACAATCCACAGGAGGAAGGAAGCTGTCAGTTCTCAGGGAATGATCATTGCCTTGGCTGCATAGACCCAAACATTAACCAAAGTAATTAGCTAATGAGGTCCCTGCCATTCCCCACCTCCCACCCCACCCCCTTGGCACAGCAGGCTTCCAGGGCACTGCAGCTGCAGTGTCCCAATCCTTAGTGGCTGGCACACATCAGAGGTGTAATGTCCATTAGGACCCATGCCAGCCCCTCTTGTGGACAGGGACTGCTGGCATTAGGACAGCTCTGCATGGGAGCGGATCCAGGATAGGCTGGGCCAGGAGGAAGTGGAGGCCTGAGGCCCCATGAAGAGTCCTGACATTTGGGACTGGGGGTCCATGCTTGGCTGTGTCCTGAGAGCCCTGTGGCACCTCACACTGAGGAAAGGCAGTGGCTAAGCAGTCCCTGAAGCATAAAGGTTTTTGTCACTGATCTCATTTGCTTCCCTTGGGCACTGTCTCTACCTGATCCTGGAAAAATCCCCTGAGAGAGGGACAGTTCACTTTTCCAGTCCCTGCTGACCTAGCAGTTGTGCCCAGGAGCTACTGAACTCATCACTCTTGCTTCCCCCTCTCCCCGTCACACACATGTGACAGTGCCACTGCCTCAGTGCTAGCTGGGCTGGATTCAAACTAGAGACCTACTGGGGACCAAAATCGAGTTCCCAGTGCCTCTGAGCCAGCCAGGAGTCTGCTTCATCCACCCCTTACTCCCACATGCACGCTTGTTTTCAGTCACTGTCCTTCAACTGGACCTCGGGGAGCAAGCAGCTGGGACACCATCCTGGGCTTCGTATCCTTTGGCCCACAGCCACGGGGGGCATTATTCTGGGGTAAGGGACCAGGATAGACATTCAGGCCTCTTTGCTAGCTCAATGTGGCACAGACGGGCTAAGGTTTGGACCTGTTCCAAAGGAACTGCATCACAATGCCCAGCCCTGCGACAGCTAGAGTAGAAACAAGTTTCCTGATACATTACTCTATGCAGTTGGCTCTGGTCATTCCCAGGAGGTGCAGCCAGCTTCTGGCTGCAGACATCCTACCCCCAGCTACATGGGACTGACCAAGAATCAGGGCCTTGTTGTGCTGCTGCAGACCCCCCAGAACCTCACTCCCCTCAGTGCGAGGATCCTGTGGCCATGGGGAGTCCGTGCCACTCACTGAGCAGCAGGGCAGGGAGCCTGTCCACCTTGATTTTTGGACCCGGGGGTGGAGGAAGGAAGTGCCAGCAGGTTCCACATGCTTGGGGAAAAGGGTGAGAATTTTGGCAGCCTTTAAAGGCCAGTGTGATATGTTCTGTGTGGTGTGCTCTGTGTGGTGGGACACATGAGATCCTTCCACATCCTCTTTCCTGCCTCCTCTACCCCATTGCTAAACCTTGTCTCCTTAACAGACCAAGCCAGTAGCATTTGCAGTGAGGACAAATGTGGGCTACAACCCATCCCCTAATGATGACATGCCAGTCCAGGGTATGGCCATCTCCTTTGAACCCAAAGACTTCCTGCATATCAAAGAGGTAGGTGGTGTCTGGCTGAGGATGAGAGACATATGATGTGGGCTGGGGGGAGCAGTGTAGCCAGCTGAGGAAGGCCCTGGCACCACATTACAGATACCACTTCTCTCCCTACTGCAGAAATATAACAATGACTGGTGGATCGGGCGCCTGGTGAAGGAGGGCTGTGAGGTGGGCTTCATCCCCAGCCCTGTCAAACTGGAAAACATGAGGATGCTGCAGGAGCAAAAGATGAGGCAAAACCGCCTCAGTTCAAGGTGGGGACAGACTGGGAAAGGAGGGGACCACTCTCATCACACAGCCTGGAGGGTAAAGCCATTTCAGAACAGGGAGCAGTGGGCAATCAACAAGGCCCTGTCATTAGATGCGTGGCGGGTGGGAAGCATGCCACTAAGCTAGATGGGTGCCTGGGCCATTGGCACTGTCCTGGTGTGGTGGTTCCAGATTTATGTTGTCTCCCAGGATCTGGGTGCCAAAGCCACTCTCCCATTGCTGAGAAATCCCCACCCCACCCCTGGCACTGGCAGAGATTCGATCCCCTTCTGAGGTACTTACCACCCTCCCCTTTCTGTTCTGTGCAGCAAATCAGGGGACAACTCCAGCTCCAGCCTGGGAGATGTGGTGACGGGGACCCGCAGACCCACCCCACCTGCCAGCGGTAAGACCGTCTGTGCCCCCAACCCTGGAACTGTTTGAAATGGGACAGTGCCCAGCTGGTCAGATGGGGGCATTAGGGCCAGCAAGTGAGGAAGGGATTACTTCCCACTATGGCCTTGTAGCTGAAATGACAGGTTCCTTCCTCCTTTCATCTCTTCAGATGCCAGTAAGCCTACCATTAAGGCACCTTTACTGCAGCTCAGTCCCTAACAATCTCTCACAGGGTGAGGGAAGCCCAGGACAGATCCTCTGTCTGCCTAATGTTGGGGATCAGTTAAAGCCCCAGCAGCTTAAGGTGGAAGTGCCCATCTGGAAGTGGCCAACACTTATCCAAGGATCTACAGCAGAATTCCTAAATTCTCCCCACCCACAAACGTCCCCCATCCCTTCTGGCCCCGGCAAAAGGCAGAGATATGGGTATAGGTGTAAGGGAGTACTTAGCACACATGGACCTATGAGTCAACACACAACAACATAGAGTAAGACAGAGGACAGTGCACCCAAGGGAAGCTGGTCAAGCAACTCCCACAGTGCGGCAGGCTACTGGGTCCAACACTGATGCTAGTACACACACAGAGACATGGTCTACAGTTAGACGCTTGAGTTTCCGATAGAAGGGCGAATGTGCATCCCTGCCTTGGCACATCCACACAGGCATGGAGAGGGGACCTGCTGCCATCTATCCCAGTGACCTAGCAGGTGGAGACACTAAGTCAATCCCAGCTGGGCTGCCAGGCAATCCTTTCATCCCCAGCCCAGCCCAGCCCACTCTCTACCCTGCCTAGCCCCTCCAGGAAGCTCTAGTTTTACTTTACCCTTCCAGCTCTTTCATTTGCCAAATCACTCTCCCCCCTTGAGCACATCTTTCATTTGTTTTCTTTCTTTTGATCTTTTTAGCCATTTCTCGTTTTCTGTTTCTACTCATTTTCCTTTGCTCCCTCCTTTCTTTTCTTTTCTTTTTTTCTCCCCTTCCCCATGCCCCTCCCTAGGTACTCTGGACATGACTAACTTAGCTTATGACCCTGATGCCCTTGACTTAGAAGATGAGGAGGCCGAAGGCCTGGAGAACCACCGCTCCCCTAAGACTAGCGTTAGCAGTGTCACCACACCCCCCTCCAATGTCAAGCGCATCCCCTTCTTTAAGAAGGTAAAGGAGCCTGGTTCAGGGCATGCTCTCTGCTGGGGCTCTGCACCCGCCTGCTGCACCTGTGCTCCCGCCTGCCTTTAACACCCGTCATTTGCCCTGAGTGTGAGGCCGGATGCCCCTCTTTGAGAGATCTGGGTTTGTCGAAGGAGGTGTGGGGATGGGAACGGGGACAGGCACAGCTTGGATCTGGTCTTGTCATCGTTCAGCTGTGAACTGGGTTGTGGGTCCTGGCCACATGAAGTGCCATAAAGCATGCTATTGGGCAGGAGAATCATCTGAGGAGCGCCAGCATCCCTTGCCCAAGTGGAGGTGCTCATGAGGGCCAAGGCAGGGTCACCCATGTACCTGATGTGTGCCAGGAATCCCCACCTCCAACATGGCCCAGACAGGTCCAGCTACCTCTATGCTGCCCTCCCAGTGCACCAATGCACACATTTCTGACGCACGTGAATGGTATGTTCCAGTGATCACACACTTAAAGCATGAATTAAGAGCATTCTGGCAGTCAACCCCTCCCCCCCCCATGTGAAGCATGGGAATGGAATGTTCCAGCACGGCCCCTTCCCATGAAACATGGGAAAGGTACATTCCAGTGGTTTTGAAGGGGGAGCAACATGAAGCATGGACCATTGTCCCCCTCCATGATAGCCCCTGTGAAACATGAGAGTGGAACATTCCTGGGGTATTTTGGTTCACCAGCGATCAATTTGGGGGATCTAGTGGGTGATCCCCAAAATTGGATCAAACCCATTCATTCCACCCGAACCAACATGGAAATGGATCCAGCGTTTCAACAAATTGGAAAGTTGTGTTTTGGGTCAGCCTGAAAGTGTTTGACCCAAAAGACAACAGAACGGTTTTGCTTTGGAGCTGTTTAACCTTTTATAATGGGTAGGCAACCCCTGGCGCGGGTGCCAGATCATGGCATGTGAAGGCATTTTGTTTGGCACGTGTGCCTCGGGTTGGAGGGGGAGAAGGGACCAGGGCTGAATTGCCACAATGAGGATTGGGCCATTTGCAACTCCCCCAGTGTCCGTCCCTGGCATGCCAACATCTTACAAGTTGAAGCTGGCACTCTGTCCAAAAATGTTGTCGACCCCTGTTTTATAACCTTTTTCTCGCTTCCCCCTTTATTTTATTTTTTTGGAAATGCAGGTGCAATTTTAAATGCCAGTGCCGTTTCAAGCTGGAAAATGGCAGTGCTTTCCCCAAAATGCTTCAGAAGAGCATTCTGGCATTTCCAAAATCAGGCTATTCCTCTTACAACACTTGATTCAGAGGCTTTGGGGTTCTCCCCTGACCTATTATTTTTAGTTGTAACCATTTGCCAAATTTGTTTATGGATAGTTTTGTTCTCCTCCCCACTCTGAAACACTAGTTCTTGGGTGAATTTAGCATTTGCCAATGTTTTTTTTCCCCAATTCTCCCAGCTGTGTCCACCACCCTGTTAAAAGCATGAGAATGGAATGTTCCACTTAGGCCCTCACACTGTGAAACATGGGAATGGAACATTCCATCCATCCTGGGTTAGATGCTGGGGAGGTGTGGACCCTGTGGGGTACCAGAGGCCTGCAGGAGCAGCCAGGTATGGGGTTTGCAGGCAGCTACCCCACTGCCTCTGGGGTTACATTGAGGCAAGTGAGTAGAGGGGTGCAGCAGTCTCTTTCAGGGCATTCCTCCCTGGGGTTTTACAGAGGAGGGATTATTCAGGGTAGGGCAAGTGGGGAGAGGCTGCAGGGGTAACAGCCAGGGGAGGATGCTGATGCCAAGGTAGGATGGGGGCTGCATAGAGGAGCTCTGTATTGCCAGGAGGCTCTCATAGGCAGGGACAAGAGTCCTCTTGATGCCGTGGAAGGCATTCCCAGGGACCGAGATGGCATGCAGAAGAGAGGCTAGGGCAGAGGGGTACATCTGCTGTCCCCAACGGGATGAAAAAATCTTATGTGAAGCAGGAGGCAAGTGCAAAATACAAGAGAAAGCAGGGCTGGAGTGGGGTGGTGGGAGCTGAGCAGTGCTGGGGGACATGCACCTGGGCCTCAGCCACCCCCACTGTGGGGGAAAGCTGAATTAACCCCCTTTCCCTCTAGAGTCCCCCACCTTGCTGCCTGAGCTAAGTTCCAGCAGCCCCTCCTGCCCTCCCCTGCCTGTCCCCACTGCCTCTTTGCTTCTGCTGGAGCGATCTGTCAGTAACACGCATGCCTTGTTTATCTCTCTCGTCTGCCCTTCCTCTCCCCCCCCACCCCCCTTCCCCCCCCACATTAATGGCGATCACTGGACATAGCCAAGCAGAAGCAGAAGTCGGTGAGTACCATGGCTTTACTTGAGCTCCCTTCCAGCCAGAGCATCCTGAAATACTGGGTGGGAGGGGTGCCCATAATTGGTATGGCCACCTGGCTCCCAAGCCACAGGGCTGGCAGCATGGGAAGGGCAGGCCACACCCAGGTACCCCTAGGAAGGTTCAACCCATCCTCTCGGACCGCAGTTCCTATCCCTGTCCCAGAGACGCCAGGGCCTGCAACCCCACCACCCCCCACGAAGCTGTGTAACCTCCTACCCACTGCATCTCTTCACAGGCGGAGCACGTGCCTCCCTATGACGTGGTACCCTCCATGCGGCCAATCATACTTGTGGGGCCGTCTTTGAAGGGGTACGAGGTGAGGAGTCAGGAGCAGGTGCTGGGGATGGGAGGTGCAGAATTTCCTTCAACTTCCTGCAGAGCAGGTGACCCTGAATATGCCCAGTATGTGCTGCATACTCCCCTCCCCACAGCTTGTCTGTCCATCTGTCTGCTCAGCCATCTCTTCCCCTCCATTTCTTGACCATCCACTCTCCACCTGCACACTCAACCCCTCTCACACAGCAACTGCTCTCCCAGCACCTTCACTCCTGTCCCCTTCAGCACGTGTCCATCTCCCCCCAACTCCTCTAGTGCTCCCCACTCTGCCTTGCTGTCCAAGTAGCCTCTTCCATGGGGCAGGAAGTCATATTGGGAAGAGCTCCCTGTGCTTTCACCTTTATCCAGGGTGGGGATTGTGCCTGGTGAGCCAGTGGCATCTGCCCTCCCGGTTCACACACACGTGCACATAGTGTGTGCCTAACTGATTTTCCTCCCTATGCCCATTTACCTGTAAAATCCCCTCCACACACACTATACCCATGCATGTAAATGCCTGACTACAGGTATTCATGCACGTCTGACTACACACACATGTACACACCCCCCCCTATACTTGACTGCACACACATGTGTGCACTATCTGACCTCCCATACACGATTTCTCACATGCATATTCAACTTATCTCTTTCTCTCTCGCACACATTTACACCCCCCCCCCACACACACACACACACTCCCCAGACCCACCCACCCACACGCTAGTGTCATGAATCCCCACTCTGCTCCAGGGTGCCCAGCTCCACTGTGTCGCTCTCTCCCCAGGTGACAGACATGATGCAGAAAGCTCTTTTTGACTTCCTGAAGCATCGCTTCGATGGCAGGTGAGGGACATCTCAGGCAGACAGCATAAGCCATGAGAGCATTGGTTGGGTCTGTGGCTCTCAGGCTTAGAAACTGGGTGTTGGGGGCATGCAAATGGGATGGGGATGTTAACACTGTCTATCATGCCTTCTTTCTCCCGAGTCACACTCAGAATCAGGACTGGAGAACACTGTGGCTGAGTAGGGGCTGGAGGTGGTGCACCTTCTGGCTGCTCCCTCCTGCCCTATTGGAGGTTGGGCTCCAGTTCTCAAACCTGTGGGCACAGCTGGACCCAATTCTGCTCCCCTGGACATCTAGAGACTACTGGTTCACTTAAATCCATGTTTAACAACAACCATGGTGACAGGCTCCCTGAGAGACAATAAAATGGGAACCCAGTGCAGTGGGTCACATGCTCTTCCCCCAGCCGGAAATAGGATGCCACCTTCCAAGCAGAGACAACTCTTCCCCGTCCCTCACCCTTTCCAACTGAAGGCCTCATGGGCATACTGCAGGGAGGAGTGGAACCCCCCTGGCAGTATCCTGAAACTCATTTTGCAGGTGGGGAACCTGAAGCACAGTAATGAGGAGGCAGCTCACTCAAAATGGAGCCCCCACTGCCATTTTGAAATGCAGGACACTGAATACATGAGATGCTGTGGCATTTTAATTAGAGTGGCTCCTGAGACCTGCTTTAATTAAAACATGCCCCACCCCAACCCCAGAGCATGTGTATAGGCACTCCAGGAGTCCTGTTCTCTTGCTGCCTTTCATATATGAAACAGGCAGCAGGAAGCAGTGCAAATGTGCAAGGGGAGGACTGGAAAGAGAGTTCCCTTCATAGGTGACTGGGATTTGCATCCCCAGCTCTGGGCTACTATAGGGTCACCTTATACAACCTCTAAGCAAGGGTCCCAGCTGTTGGGGACAATTGCTGACCACCCATCTGCTCTCTTTCTGTCTCTCCCTTTCACACTCCCATCCCTCTCTCCTACACACACCCCTTCACCCCCCTCCATGTGCCTCCCAGGATCTCCATCACGCGGGTGACAGCCGACATCTCCCTGGCCAAGCGCTCCGTGCTGAATAACCCCAGCAAACACACCATCATCGAACGCTCCAGCACGCGCTCCAGCCTGGGTAAGACAGGGGTGACTCCCAGGAGGGTGGGGAGGGAAGAGCCATGGATCTAACCCTTCCCACTCACCTCCCCCCTGCATGGTTATTTTGGAGGATGGTGTAGCATTAACCTGAGTTGCTTGGCCACTGGCATTGCTTTGAGGGCTTAAACCTTCAAAGCCTGCCTGCCTCTGATCTGTATCAGTTGGGAGCCGCCTGCTTCCCCCTTTGCCCACCCCTGGAATTCCCACAGTGCCTTGGGGCATGCCCCCCACCTCATGCCCTGTTGGCAAGGAACTCCTCACGCATGCTCCCCTCTTTGCCCACCCCTGGCCCTAGGCCAGGCCTTCCAGCTGTGCTCTTGCCTGCTTGTGCTAGGCTGAAAGAGGGACTGACCTAGAGATGCCACTTCCTTGGCATTGCTCATCCCCCCAGGCATGCTGGGATGCTTGGCAACACCAGGGCAGGCTCCCCCCAGTGCACGCTGGGATGTGATATGCCTGGACTGCCCCCCTTCCAGCAGAGCTGGGAAGAGGTGGGGGTTGTGTGCCTCATGGAAAACGATGCCATTTTTGCTGCCGTGCAGAGGGGGTGACTAATATGACTTGCTGACCTGCTGCTCCCGCAAGCCTGGCTGGGCGGGGGCAGGAGTCTGCTGCTCCGATGCCTGGGACCATCTTTGCTGCTGACAGTCCATTCAATTCACTCCTCTTTTCCCCCCCTCCCTTTCTTTTCTTTATTTTTCCTTTTATTTTTTTTCCTCCCCTCCGCGTGGCTTCCTTCCTTCCCTGCTCCTGATACAGATGTCTTGGGTATGTAGCCTTAATCTCTCGGGCACAGCACTCTAACCCTGTATGGGAGCCATTGCCAGCCACGGCATGGCAGGGACTGATGGGTAATACCCACTTCCCTAGCCACTGGAGAGTGAGATCTCAACCTGCTCCTTTCTCCTTCTCTTCTGGGATCTCCTCAGAGCACATAGCTGCTGGCACTCAGTACCCTACAAACTCAGGGCAGCCACAGCCGGAGTCTTGCTCCTTCCATGTGGCCCAGAGCCTTGGTGCTGGAAGGCAGCTGTCCCTTCCCTGTGGTCCTTCTGGTCTTGAAGGCCAGGACTGATCTGAAGCTCTAGGATTAGAGACGAGCCCAATATGCTCAACCCAGGTCCAGATGCCCCAGGGTCTGGGTTTTGGTTTGTCCCCTGCTGTGGTTCCTCCCCATCTCCTGCTCTATACAGCAGTGCACTTCCCCTGCCCAGGGATACCCAATGAACACAGGTCAGGTCTGGGTTCTCCAGGTCTCCCCTACTGCCCAGCCTGTGGCAGAGCTGGTGCAGCATCCTGGCTGTGGTGGGACTATTCCCAGCAATGGTGACACAGGAGCCACGTCTCTCCAGCCAGGAGAGGGAGATGATGCTGCTGCATGGAAACCCAGGTATCTCCCTCTGTATCTAGGCGACACCACTGTCTTTGCCTTTGGGGTACACAGCCCCCAGTCCCTGGCTCCATGACCAGCCCCTACAACTGTGTTCCTCCATCTCTCCCCATGCCCTCCCCATGGTTCCTGCCCCAATCCGTTATCTTACCTGGCTCTTCCAAATTGCTCCCCCCTACACATGCATTGTACCTGTTTCCTCCACCTCTCCATACTCTCCCCAACCTTTGTCCTGCTCCCCCTGGCCCACTTCCAAGCTTCTCACTGTGTGTCTGCTCTGACAGCTGAGGTGCAGAGTGAGATTGAGCGCATTTTCGAACTGGCCCGGACCCTGCAGCTTGTGGCTCTTGATGCGGACACCATCAACCACCCAGCCCAGCTAGCCAAGACCTCACTGGCCCCCATCATTGTGTACATCAAGATCACCTCCCCTAAGGTGGGTGTGCTCCTCCCTGTGGGGCATGGAGCCGTGAGGCCCAGGACTCAGTGCACAGTGCCATTGGAATATGCACTTGCAGCCCCCAAACTGATGATAAGAAGCCTTGAAAATTAAGAGTTAGTCATTTTTGGAGCTGCTAATATCAGCACCCACAGCTGCTGTGCGGGTAATGAGAATTGTCTTCACCCGTGTGGTATGAGCAGCTTTGACACTGATAAGTTGCCATCCAGTTCAAGGATTCTGATGACAGTTCTTGGACTGGGCTTTTTCTTCATTGTGCCTGACACAGTTAAAGGCACTCCAGTTAGTTACAAAGCTGTCAGTCTCAGTTACAGTGAGTGGGTCACTGGTTCTCAACCTCTTAGACTCAAGGCAACCCTTGGAAAATGCCAGCTCTTCACTTTCACTTGGTTTGTGCCTATGAAACAATAATAGATCAGCTCTTCTGTTGCAAAGAACTCAGGAAGCCCACAGCAGGTCCAAATGGTTTCCACACAGTGGATTCATATTTGAAATCTCTGGTCTTATCTTGTGAACTGTGCATAGGTTTTTGCACACCTAACGCTGCTAATATTGCACAGCATCCTTAAGAGGCTGTCACGGCACACCAGAGTGCTGCAGCATCCTCACTGAGCATCACTGAAGTGGGTAGATAATCCAAGTACAGTTAAGTTTAAGTTACAAAACGGGCAGTAAGGATGAAAGCTGCTATGCGTGTAGCCAGTTAAAATCAGAAATGGGCCAAGGGCTGTGGGCACACCCACACCCCCTTTGGCTGTGTGGCCCATGCACAGTGAGCTTTCTGAGCTCAATACCTTATCAGCATGGGCCTTAGCTGGAGCCACTGATTTTGCACAGCTCTGGAGCCCAGAGGATGAATGCCACCACCGTTCACTTCTTTCCTCCATCCTGACTGAATTCAGTGGCAAAGAAAAGGAGATGAGAGGCAGCATTTACCCCCTGGGCTTCTGAGCCATGAAAAAGCAGAGCCGATGCTGACATACTAGTGAACTCATTCTGGTGACAGGCTGTTTACACAGTGTTTGAGGGCCATTTGTGGCTCCCAAGCCATAGTTTCAGCACCACTGCACTTAATCTGACGTACAGATAACTGGTGTGTGTGACCATGTCAGCAGAAGACAACAAAGGGGGCTTGCTATTGTGTGAATTATGTACCTCTTGGGTATGTACATAAGCAGAGTACACAGGTGTTTGCTGCCTGGATCAGACTGTGCCAGGGAGCCAGGGGATAGCAAAGAGGAGATCCACTGCTGAGCCTTCCTGTATGTCCCAGGCAGTGATGGGGGGTGGGACTGTGTTGAAGCATTTGGCTTCATGAAATAGCCCTGTCTGTATTTAAATCAGTGGTGTGATGAGTTGGAGACTTTCAGCCTTGTCCTCCAGGTGATGTTCCTCCTCATTGCAGCATTGTTTTTTAAATATAAGAGAGTAGCTTAAGACTCAAACAGCCAGAGCGGCTGTGTGGCAGGGCTGAGGGACAAAGCAGAGCTGTGCCTGTGGGAGCCAAGGGCTGGGATAGCGTGGGTTGCAGTTTAGGAGTGAGTGTACTGACAGGGCAGAAGAGCCCCAGGTGGGGATCACAAAAGGATGAAACAGTTTTCCTGCCCGAGATCCAGACTCAGCCCCTCCACAGAGCAACAGCCCCCAAGGAGAGAAGGGGCAGGCAAGGCAGCATCTCCTCAGAAGCCTGGTGTCTCCTCGTCCCTTCCCCAGTGTTCTTCCTTCTCCCACCACAGGTGCTCCAGAGACTGGTCAAGTCCCGGGGAAAGTCCCAGGCCAAACACCTGAATGTGCAGATGGTGGCATCAGACAAACTGGCACAGTGCCCTCCTGTGAGTACCTGGACTCTGCCCACCTGAGCCCTCACCTTGGTTGGTGAGGCCCCACTCCCTCAGCTCAACTGAGTACCTGCCTCTGATCGGCCACCCCTGCTACCCCACACCCCCCAAACTGGGCCATGGCTCCGCCCCTGGCCCCACCCCATCACCTCCAGTTTAGCTGTGGCTCTGCCTCCAGCCCCGCCCATCACCTCCAGCTGGCTTCCCCATGCCCTGCCCCTCCCTATCTCTTTGTTTCTCATTGCAGGAAATGTTTGACATCATCCTGGATGAGAACCAATTGGAAGATGCCTGTGAGCACCTGTCTGAGTATCTGGAAGCCTATTGGAAGGCCACGCATCCACCCAGCAGCAACCCACCCAATCCCCTCCTGAACCGCACCATGGCTACTGCTGCCCTAGCTGCCAGTCCCGCCCCTGTCTCCAACCTCCAGGTACAGGTGCTGACCTCCCTCAAGCGCAACCTGGGCTTCTGGGGCGGGAAGGGTAGCCCGGAGCTGGGGCCAAGGGCCCAGCCCAAGGTGGAGGAGCATGCGCTGTAGCTTTAAGAGTGGAAGAGAAAGAGGCAGTGCCTTCAGTGAACACGGAGAAGGAAATGTACTTTGGAAACCCCAGCTGATCCCCACCCTCTGAATGCACCCCTGCAAGTGCCTGTGGAAACTGCTTCCCTCTGGCCCCGCTGCCCTCGGTGCCCTGCTGGTGGAAGGGGCTCTTCAGAGCATCATCTGAGCCAAATGGGGGCTGCCCAGCAGTAGCTCTAAGGCTCAGGACCTGGGAGCAGTGTTACCCCCTGGGGAGAACAAGGAATCTTCCCCCCCAGTGCCACCCAAGAGTTGCACCCATGCACCCAGGAGCCGAGCTCTTTCCAGGAGGTGCCATGCTGACGCCCCACCCCCTGCTTTGGTGTAAAGGCTGCCTCCCCTCTGCTTGGAGAGCTGGGCCAAGTCTCACAGGAGTCATGGAGTGCTGGGCTCTGATGACCTGTTTTGTGCCTTTGGAGAAGTGCATTCTGGGAAGGCCCCTTTCCCAGACTAGGTGTAAACCTGGGTAATTGCCCAACATGAGGCTTTGCACTGCAGGACAGTCAGGAAGGCTGGGGCAAGGGGTGACTTCCTACCCATGTCAAAGAGTGCTGTCAACAGCCAGGCCTGGGGTGAAGCCCAGGTACAGCTGTTAGGTAGGGGTCAGACATGCCCTTGTCCAGGAGTTCGGTGCATTGCCTTTGCCACTAGTACAAAGACCCCTCTGGCAAGGGGCTTGGATCCTTTCTTCCAGCTCCTGCCCAACCAAGAGTATCCTTCATCTACTGGAAACAGGCACCTTCTGAAATCTGTGCTAGTGTATCTCCAGGGGAAGGCTCACCTTTAAGAATTGAGATGTAGTCCAGGCTCACTTGTGGCCTGGCTAGTAGCTCAGATACTCCGAGTCATTCTGGTGCTGTGAAACCCAACAGATCATCCCATTTGGAAGAGCCCATCTTTGCCCCTTCCTGGATATCCTGGCTCCTGCCCCAAACCAGCTAACCTTGGTCTCCACAGGCTTCTGTGCCATTGCACTGTATCACCCAGGGGCAGGGCCGGGGGTCTCCAAGCAGGACTGGGATCTGGCATTAGTTGCCTTTGTGTTTGCTCCTGACCTTCTCAGGCTGCTGCTGGTTGAGTGGGTTTCTGTGTAGTAACAGAGGGTCTCCAACTGGGCAGACTCCTGTGGGGATCCTGCTTTCACTGGCGCCATGCCCTGACTTGCCCGGGCTGTGGTAGGGATGATGTCGTGCATTGCTAACTCTCTTTGACTTCCAGCAGATCTCTCAGCCCTGGCTTTGTGCCACCAGGGCAAGTTCACTCTTGCACTTCTGCTGGTACCTCTCAATCCTGGCTTCCCACCCCCAGCCCTTTCCAGCCTAAGCCTCCCTACCCTACCCACGTAGCTGTTCTGCCACCCCTCAGGCCTAGCCTGCAGCCCCCGTTCCAGCTTCCAACTCCACCTGAGAAAACCCTGTTGATGAATCTGTAATACAGGTTTGTTCCCTTGGATGGGTTTGTATTCAAGCATGGAGCTGGGCTAAGACTCGGCAACTTCATTTCACTTGCGTTGGGATTGCACACCAGGTCTCGGCAGGCCAAAAGTGCATGTGCACTGATCCCAGATGCAGCGCTTTGCTGATGATGTGTGTGTATTAACTGTACTAAGTGGCCACCAGTGGCCCCTGGGGGGCAGACTAACCCTGTCTTATCTTCTCCCATTTGCATGGTGTGCTGCTGCTTCTCCTAACCAGGGCCCCTACCTAGTGCATGGGGAGCAGACGTGTGAGGGGGAGCGTGCTAGCCTTCATGACTACCCAGGGGAGCCGGCCACCCGCAGCCAGGGGCGTCCAGGCCAGCCCCATGCTCGCCTAGTCAACCGTGGCCTATCGCGCCAGGACACCTTCGACTCGGAGACCCAGGGCAGCCGTGACTCGGCCTACACAGAGCCGGGCGATTCCTGCATGGACATGGAGACGGACCCCTACGAGGAGCCTGAAGCTGAGCCGCGCAGCACCCCTGGTGCCTACCACCGAGGGCTGGGCCGCCACCACCTCCACCTGCACCAGAGCTCCTGGGATGAGGATGAGCCAGATCGGGAGAACCACAACCGGCAACCTCGGGGCAAGGGGCGAGACCACTACTGCCAGAACGAGGAGGAGGCCATGGGCATGAACAAGAATGACATGGAGGCCTGGGGGCGGGACGTGTACATCCGCTAAAGCCGGGGCATCTGCCTCAGCAGGAGAGGGATGGTGTGCGGGGATCTTCCCCTCCCCCCCCCAGGCCCCCTGACTATGAGGCTTCCCTACTTTGGTTGTTTTGGGTTGGGGTGGCCCTTGCCTCCTTAACCAGGGCTGGCCTCAGATTATATGGTGCCCCCATCCAGCTTGGATGAGGGCTCCCCTGCCTCCCCCCCACCCCATATGGGGCTCCCTTGCCAGCAGTGCCATGGGGACCCCTTTGCCAATGGTGACACAGGCCCCCCCAACTCAGCACCCAGAGGGGGCCCCTGCCAACACTCCTGGGGCCCCTCTCACCTCCTATAAGATTGTGAATATTCACCTCCACCTTAAGCCCCTCCTTGGCTCTGTGGGTCCCCTGGGTACCCAGAGAGGAGGGGCGCCCTGGCGTCCACTTTTGCCTCGGGCCATCCCTGCCCCCAAAGGGAGTAAGTGACCAAATGGATCCAGCCAGCTCCCCTGCTGCCTGTCATGGCCCTGCCCCAGTGGGTGGGAAGCCTAGAGCTGGGCACTGTCTGTCCCCACTCCCTGGGGAAGGAAAGCATGTTCAACCCTGGTCTGTAACTAATCACTTCTGGGGCTGTCTAGGGGGATGGCCTTCCTCCATCTTCCTCTTCCCCACCCCGGGCTCAGCTTCTCCCCAGTTTGCATCCTTGCCCCATCCCATCGTATTTCCATGGTGCTCTTGACAACCCAGCTGAAGAGGGGAGCTGTGGCGCTACCCCTGGTTTCTTTAGAGAGTTCTGATAGCTGTGGGGAGTCAGTCTCTGCCCAGCAATGAGGAATCTCCTCTTCTGTCCAGTGCCTACGATTATGTCTAGCCCTTTGTCCGTACAGACAGCCGTAACCCCAGCCAACGGTGCCATAGCCTACCTCCCATCATGGCTTGACCTGTCTCTATTCTCCAGTGCCTCAGCCTCCAGCCCCCCGTGGATTTATTTTACATGCTAAACCACAACAGATTTGGGGGTGGGGATGCCTGCACTCCAGCCTGCATGCGTGTGTGGTGTATACTGCTGTGGGCGTGCCCCAGGCCGGGGTATTGAGGGAATGAAGGGGGCTAACCTGTTTGGATCTAATTGGACTCCTAGTTGATCTGTACCGTGCTGACTCAAAGCATGGAGGGGGAAGCTTGTGTGTGATGCCATAGGCTGGGCATTCTTCTGGTGGGCTGAAGGGACTCTGCCGAGCGTGTCAGGGCAGTTCCAGGACATCCCAGTCCCATGTGACATCAAAGCAATCCCCCTTGCTGGGAGCAGTCATCCTCACCAGTGGTCCTGCCTACTGCCTAAGGAGAGGAGGTGCCCTGTGATGACATCTTGGCCTGGGCTACCCTCTCCCTGGGGCACGGCCTGTTTGGTTTTCCCCTTCACAGAGCTGCTGTCATCAGACTGCAGGTGCTTTGCAGGGTGCTTCCATTTGAGGAGCTTGGGCTGAAATGAAGGCAGGGAGACAGTTTCTGGCAGAACAGGCTATTTTTGCAAAATGGTCTATGGCACCCTTTAGTGGGGGGGACGGGCTCTTCCAGAAGGGTGTTTATACACTGTGCTCAGGGGGAACATGCTTTAATTAGAGCAGCTCCAAGAGCAGCTCCAGGAGCTCCAAGAGCTGCTCTAATTAGAACACCCAGAGAGTCACATGTGTCAGTGTCCCTGTGCTGAAAAATGGCAGCAGGGGCACTTTAACTAAAGCCATTTAGTTTCAAAACTAACTCGAATGAGCTTCAGTTAAATTGCCCCCGCCACCATTTTTCAGTGCAGGGACACTGACATACTTGACCAACTGCAGTCTGCTGGAGCTCACCAATTACCACTCTGGCAGACTTGATTAATCAAGTCTGGATTAATCAAGTCTGCTCCAATGCGCTGTAACTACACGTTGTAATTACAGCATGTTGGAGCAGCCTCACTGCATATGTATAGGCACCTGAAATGCCCCTGAGTGGGTGAGGGGGAGGGGAGATCATTTCTACACTGGGCTGGGGGGACAGGGGTGTCTAACGTGAGTGGTTTGTGTACTAATGGCTTCCTCAGTCCTGGCCTGCCGTGTCACCTTGTGCCATACTAGGGGCAACAGCCAAAGTACCCAGCCCCTTTGTTTATGGGCCTCAGGTGGAGGGGTGGGATTTTTACTTGGCCAAAACCTTCAGCGCCCCCCAGTCATCTCCTCTCTCTGGGCCTGTAATATCTGCCCAGAACCCTCCAGACCTTTCCCCTCCCTGCCAGCTGGGACTCTGCCCCTTTCGCCCACCCCTGGTCTTGAGCATGAGGAATCTGGCTGGATTGAGCCCAGAGAAGCTGTGCCTGACCTGTGACTTCCAGGCAGAGCTGCATCCCTTACATTCTGCCAAAACCTGGCTTTGGCCAACCTAAAATGGTTGAGGCTGCCCAGTGCCCTTCCCCTCGTCTCCCCGCCCCCTTCTGGCTGCAGTTTCTGGGCAGTGCCTCTCTGACCGACAAGCATTCAGTCCTTTGCTGCCCATTCATGCAGTACCTGCGTCCATGTGTGCCAACGTGTGTCCGTCCATCTCCGTGCCCCTTGGGAATGGGCTGGAGGTGGTCTCAGCTGCTCCCCCTCCTTCACTGTGAAGTCTCTGGGTTTTGTCTGTCTGTACCCATACCCTCTGCAGGGGCTGGCACCTCCCTGCTCGCCTGGCCTTGAGCGGTGGCTTTATAGCCAGGGGCCCTGCCTCACCTTACTCTCCCTGGCAGGGTGTTAAGCTTTGCATCTGGTTTCAGTGGGGGCCGAGACAGCCCCTGCTCTCAGGTACTGCTAGGAGCTTCCCCAGGGGAACTCAGGAGCTACTGCCTTTGACAAGAGCGAGGGGCCTTTCTAGACTAGTGCCGCTCTGTCCTGGGTGGGGAGAAGGGGTGGTAGTGGCTGTCTTCCCCATGGAGGCTGCTTGATGGGTTCCAGCCAGGCAACTTAGCTGCTACAACGGGATGGCGATGCCAGATTTCTACACCCACCTCTATCGTGGAGTCAGGTCACTCTCCCCATGTGTGTGCCTCGTCCTCCCCGTCCGTGAACCCCGGGGCTAACGAGCACCCCTCTGTTAAGTGCTTTGAGACCTGCAAGCTCCAGCCACCTCAATGTGTTGTAACCACCACGTGTCACAGCTGTCTCTATGCTGCTGCCCCACACCTCACAACTGCCACGGGCCTTCCTGCTGCCAGGCCAAGGAGTAGAGAATCCCCCTCAGCAAGGCAGGGTCTAGGACATGCCCATGGCCAAGTCTGCTTTCAGCCAGCAGGGGGCAGCAGGGTGGGGGAGGGCCAGAAAGGTGTCTTCAACACGGCCCTAGCCTTTTTGCAAAGCAACTTTAAAGGAAAGAGATGTCCTGTATTTCCGTCATTTAACAAACTATTTAAAAGAAGTGTATTTTATTTATTTATTATTGTTTGTTGAGGGAAGGGGGGAAATATTATCCCATTTGCTTGATTCTTTGTAATAAATATTTCACTGAGAACTCTGACAGTGGCTCCACGAGGGGTGTGTGATTACTGGCCCCATGTGTTTCATGGTTGGGGTAGGGGGTTGGTGCCTTTTCCATGGTCACATCTTGCCTCTCTCCAGTACAGTCTATTTGGGGTTGGTTCTCTGTAAATCAATGCATGAGAGGCTGGCTCCCTTCTGCGTCTAGCCCTGATCCGCTTCTGATCTTGGGAAACCTCTGTTGTCCCTGCTGTGCAACTGTGGAAACTTGTAGAAGAGGTCACTGTCCTGCTCACTTGTCACATGTCAGTGCCCCCAGCCAGCCCAGCGGGGACGTGGGTCTGACCTAGAATCATGGCCATTGTTAAGCCAGGTCAATGATTATGCTTTCAGAAAGAAACTAAGAAAATTACCTTCCAGGAGAAAGGGATCACTGTGCCCCAATGTCATTCTCACGCTCTACAGGGTATGGAGCAACAGGGTGCCTGGGTTCTATGCCCATCTCCAGGGAATGATGGTCTAGTGGTGAGAACAGAGTCAGGACTCCTGGGTTTTTGTTTTCAGCTATGCCACATATTTAGTATGTGAGTTTGTACAAGTCGCTTCTGTCCCCTGTGCCTCAGGTTCTTTGTCTCCAAGATGGAGATGATCATGCTGGCTTTGAGACCTAGGAGAGAAAGTCTTCTGTGCTGGTCACTGTGTTCTTTTGTGCCCATGTTGGGAGGGTGAGGAGTTGATTTGCACACATGTTTCAGCAGGGGAGTCAGCAGATTTCCAGGAGTCTCTGTGCACTCCTGTCCAGCCAGGGCATGGAAAACAGCCTGTACCACTGACCTAGCCAGTTGCACACAGCCTATAATTGATCCCAGCTCTTGCCCCCTGGTTGGGATATTTAAACCAGGGGGTGACAAACACATTGGAACCAGTAGGCTAGATGAGGGTCTCTGAACCAGTCTGTGGGCCGGATTGAGCTTGGCCCTGCCCACTGGCTCTGGCAAGTCCAGTGGGGTACTGCGGCCACTCCATTCTGGCCCCCTGTGCAATGGGCCATACAGTGCTTGTGGCATCAGGTCCAGCCTACACGCCACAGGCAGCGCAAGCTCCAGCGTGGGGCTGGCATGCACTGCACTAGACTCACAGGCTGGACCGAGTGCTTGTGGCACAAGGAGCTGGCACAGGGCATGTGTGGCACAGCCCCATCAGAGAGCTTTGTGCCCTGGCTCCAGCATAACCCAATCCACAGTTCACGCCCTGAACCAATCCCCTGTGCCACAAGTAGTGCCTTGCCAAGGCGCAGGTCCAACCCACATGCCAGACTCATTCCATATATCACATGTGGGCTTGATCTGAGATCCACAGGCCAGATCCAGCCCACAGGCCCTTTGTTCGACCCCTCCTGATTTAAAGGGCTCACAATGAGGTTAGTGACTAAATTCAATCTCCCTTTTAATCTGTTAATTGCACAACATCTCTCTCCCCTTCTCAATGGGACTGTCCAGGCAAGCAGTACAGCATACTTGTGCTTAGAATTTGAACACGTGGCTAAATGAGGCACTGAGTCCCCTGGGAGGCCTGTACCCCTTGTGTCCTCTCCCTGGAGAGGAGGAGGTTAACTCAGGCAGGTGCTGTGATACTGTCACCTGCTGGCTGTCATGTGTCAGGCCTGTTTTCCAACCAGGCTCCCCACAGATTCCCAGGTCTCAAACATATATTCTGGAATTGCAAACTTCATGCTTTGCTGCTGGAATGCAGCTGCCTCTGGGGCAGCATGTGGTGGCTGCCTGTGACAACAGCCCCCCTTCCTCCCCCACCCCTGCCAAAAAAGCACAGGGCATCCCGTCAGGAGGTTGGGGGAACAACCCATGTGAATGATGGCACTCTTCATGGGCAGTGGCAGATGTCTGTTTTACAAGTGATCTACCAGGGCTCCAAGTTCATATGTTCACCCCTTTGAAACAGAGATGGAGCTGAGGCCTGGATCCTGTTCCCAGCTCTGTCACTGCTCTGCCATGTGACTTTTCCTCTGAACTTTGCTTTCCCTTGCTGCAGAATAAGGACAATGAGATTGATGTGAAAAACTGCAGAAGAACTAGGTGTCATTATTACTGCTGACCTTGCTACAGCTCATGTAAAAACCAGTTCCAATCCTGACACATCCCTTGTCCCCATTTTACCATTAGAAGTGTAACCTTTGTGCCAAGTGCAGTTAGTACGGAAAGGACCAGGTTCCTCTACTTAGGGAAACTTTCTGGGAAAGGTTGGATTACCACCAGCTTGAGCCTCTATCCGGAAGCCATCACCAGGATGCCTTGGAGCTGTATATCCTCACTTGCAGGCTATGAGTCCAAGTGCCATATTTTCTCACAGGCAGACAAGGTTCTTTGCATAAATGTGATATCTTTTATTAGCCCAGCTAAACTATTTAGTTGGTTTAATAAAAGTAACCATATTTACCCAAAGAACCTTGTCCACCTATGTCCTTAGACCAACATGGCTATAACCAATACACATGAAACATGGAAGATATTTTCTCACATACATGTTTTTCCCAAAAATTGCGCGCGCACCCCCACACCACAAAATTGGTGTGCACGGTTTAAACAGGGAAACTGACTTTCTGACTTAGATAGACAAATCCCTGCTTTGCTTCCTGCTCCACAGTGTAGCAGCTGTTGCATTACTATTCAGGCAGCTGAGGGAATCAATTGATTTATTGGCTCATTGTTCTTCACTTCAGAGGTATTAACAACTCTCTCTCTCTCATCTTTAATGGTCTTGATGTTCCACCCATCAAGCTAAACTTTCTTAGGGTAGTCTTGCTGTCTAGCTGTTCCTAGTCTTGCTTCTCCTGTTTTATAGCCTTGGAGACTGTAATCACAGACCCACCCATGGAGATGAGACTTCAGAAGTAGCTACGGTTTCAGTGTTAGTTGAGCAGGAAATAAAGGGTGAGTTAGCTGAAGACTAGGATGTTTCCCTGCTCTATGCAGTCATAACTCTGGAAAAATATTTTCTTCTTCATTCTTCCTTTCAAAAATAAGGTGTGTATTATATTCCTGTGCCTGGTGCACGTGGGAAAATACAGTATTTAAAAACAGGCTAGTTTGGGGAAAGGCAAATTAATAAAACAGCATGAGGAGATTCCTGCCAATGCCAGACCGCAGCCAGCAAGGCCAGCCATACCTTGTCATGCATCCAAAGGTGCATCTCAAGCCGCTCCAGAGAAGTGATATTCCCCCTCTATGCGACTTTGGTCAGGCCACAGTTGGAGTACTGCATCCAGTACTGGGCACCATACTTCAAAAGGGATGTGGCCAGCCTGGAAAGGGTTCAGAGGAGGGCCACCCGCTTGGTGAGAGGGCAGCAGGACAAGCCCTATGAGGAGAGACTGAAGGACCTGAACCTGTTCAGCCTCAGCAAGAGGAGGCTGAGGGGGGACCTGGTGGCTGCCTACAAGCTCATCAGGGGGGATCAACAGCAAATAGGTAGAGCCCTTTTCTCCCCAGCACCACCTGGGGTGACAAGGAACAATGGTAATAAGCTGATGGAGAATAGGTTTAGGTTAGAGATCAGAAGGCAATATTTTACAGTTAGGGTGGCCAAAATCTGGAACCAACTTCCCAGGGAAGTGGTCCTTGCCCCTACCTTGGGCAAATTCAAGAGGAGGTTGGATGATCACTTGTCTGGGGTCTTGTGAACCCAGCATTCATTCCTGCCTGTGGCAGGGGGTCAGGGTAGATGATCTGTTC